TGGGCAGATTGCTTGAGCTCAGGAGCTCGAAACCAGTCTGGGAAACATGGCAAAACCCCATCTCTATGTAAAAAAATAAAACAAAAAGTAAATAAAAATTTTAAGAAAACAAGAACAAAAACAAAACCTAATAGGCCAAGCCTTTTGATCAGGAATTAGATACTATCTTAGTCTACAGATTTACAATGCCAAGGTCATAGACCTTTTGACCCTAGACACTGCAAACACACATCACTGAAATTAACTCAGGAATTTCAGCAGATGCACAGAAAACTATCACAGTGTATATCCATTTGTCTCAAGAATACAAGGGAGGTTTTGTCTGTTTTACTGTATGAGTTAAGATCTGCTCAAATTTTGTAGTCTTAAACTACCTATCTGTATATATCTGACAGGCAAATAAAAACAAAGCATTCTTTTTCTTCTGTATTGGTAAGAAGGGGTCTTTTTGTTGGCAGGGTTTTCTTATTGCCCCAACATACTTTACAGAGTTGGTTAATAATAAACTAAGTTTTTAAATAAATTTGAGACAAACTTCTTTCCAAAGGCAGCAAAATTTATTTTTATCCTCTAAATTTTTCCAGACACACAATTTCAAGACTCACTAGCCCTTCGATCTCCCTCAGAATCAAGCAGTTTCATTCCATAAAATCAAAATAAATTCCAGACGAATTAAAGAGTTACAGGTAAAATATGAAAGCATTAAAGAATTATATCAGGAAAATGGGCCAAGAATCAAGAGTCACATACAAAAAGGAACATTAAAAATAAAAAGCAAAGAACTCAGACTAAGGTAACATGATACCATGTTTCCAATTACTTTTTCGTATTTGACAATGATAATATATAGCTAAGTGAGGGTATAGGAAAATAAGGCCTCAAACACAATTGCTAAGAGAATAAACTGATAGAGCCCTTTTAAAAGGCAAATTCACAATGGCTGGCAAATTATAAAATGCATATACATTTTTACCCAATAATATCATTCCAATCTTCTTCAAAAGTAGTCATAAAAATAAGAAAATATAAGTATAAAAATGCTCATGGAGGCACCATTTGTATGTGAAAATTAGAAATAGTGTGAACGTCCATCAACAGAAAAATGGTAAAATTATGGCATAGCCATATAACTGGAATATTATGCAACCAGTTTTTAAAAAGTGAAGCACAGTTATTTCTCAGTATCCACAGAAGAATCTGCTCTAGGACCTCTTGAGGACAACAAAAATCAACAAATGCACAAGTTCCTTACATAAAATGACATCACATTTGTATATAGCCTGCTCACATCCTCCAACATACTTTATCTCTAATACTCATAATATCTAATACAATGTAACTGCTATACGAACAGTTATACTGTATTGTTTAGAGAACAATGACAAGAAAAAAGTCTACACATGTTCAGTACAGAGGCAATTCTTTTTTGAATATTTTTGATCCATAGTTTGTTCAATCTATGAATGCAAAACCTGTGGATACACAGGGCTGACTATACATTAACATAAGTAATCATTCAGAAAGGTAGACATGACACGTGAAGAAAGCAGCTTACAAAATAATGACTGTTTTTACTGAAAAGAGAAAACAAAAACAGAAATCTCTATGTATGATAATACGTTTATATATTAATAGAAATCATTGTTTTCAAAAAATCTTACAACATGGGAAAATCCTAATAATATAAAGTAAAAAAAGTAGGCTACAAAGTTGCATAGGTAATGACACAAACAAAAGTGGCCCAATAAAAATAAACACGGTTATCAACTATCTCTGAGACTCTAATTCTGATCTGTTCTTTACATATTTTTTATTTTCCAAAATGTATAAATATTTCTTATATAGCATTCAAGTTGATTTTATTCAGAGACAGGATCTTGCTATGTTGCTCAAACTGGTGCTGAACTCCTGAGCAACTAAAGCAATCCTCCTGCCTCAGCCTCCCAAATAGTTGGCACTATGGTCAGGGGAGATTCTAATCCTAAAAAAAAAACTCAAGAGATTGGGTATAATGAAGTGAGTTCATGTACAAAGAAGACTTTTTAAAACTATATATTTACCAAAACTTATCTATGCTGAAGAATGTTCCCTCATTCAGACTGGTTACTCTGAATATGTTTCTTCTCATGTTCTACTACTAAAAATAATTTTGAACTTATATAGTTTAAAATTTCCTTTGATCAGTTCAGGTAACATAAAAAAAGATCTTTCTTAAAATTAGTATTAACTAACATAATCACATAACTTTATCACCTAGGCTAGCCCTGAAATAGATTTTGGCTCATTCTAAAAAACTCCAGCTTCAAAGGACAAAAATTTAGCACAAGTCTGTCAATTAAAACAATATGCTGCAACTTCCAGCTTGTCTGGGGACAAGGAAGAGACTCTGGTTTCAGAAGTTTCCCCCAGATAAACTTAAGTATTCACTGTCATCCATACTGCGTTTCCATAGATGCCCAAGAATTCCCTCCATTCTTGTTCACTCACGGTCTTCCTGAGCATAAGGGTCCTCTCCACAGTCACAATTCTCAAAATCTTACCATCTCTTCAACAATAGGCTCAAGATACACCTGCTTAGTCAAATTGTGACTCTTTTGAACTCCAGTAGCATCTTATCATCTGTACTACTGACTTGGTCAGCATGTTATTTTTACATGGACATTCTTTTCATATACTCTAACTTTCCAATTACGATTTACAAGTAACGAGAAGACATAGTTTCATTTCCAGAGCAACTCACTGTAGATACAGACTGAGTGGCCCCTCCAAGAAACACAATAGGTGTTTCTTCTGTTGTATACAAAGACTGGGACAGCATTAATTAGAGCCTGGTGGATTCCAGTGGGCCTTGAATTGCTGCCTGCAAATAATGGTTTTTTTCCTGCAGTAATGGAGACACCAACTGAAAGTTCTGAGTTCAAAAATGACATGATAAAAGTTTAATTTAGAAAATGTGGTCCACAGCAGCCAGATCATAGAAAGGTAATAATTTCTACAGCAAGGAAGATAGCTGGCCCAACTAAAGGGTTAAGTACAGGGCTTTAAAGTCAGAAAGCACTGACTTCTCCTATTACACTGGGCAAGTTATGGCTTCCGTTTCCTTACCAGTAAAATGAAGATGATAAAACCAGACCTGAGACAGGCCTGGTAGCACACAACTGTAGTCTTAGCTACTCAGGAGGCTGAGGCAGGAGGATTACTTGAGCCAAGGAGTCAAGACAAGTGGGAGCAACACAGTGAGACCCCATTTCAAAAACAAACAAAAACCCCACCAAAAACTAGAAACAAGTTGAAAAACTCCTAAGTCTTGCACACTGTGGTGGGCATTACATGAAATAATACACGCAGCACACATACCACAATGCCTGTCGAAGGGTAAGCACACTGCACTCTGGGACCAATTCTCTGACACCAACTAGGTCTCCTACAATTCAACTCAATTCCAACACTACCTGGAGTTAATATTAGATTCCACAAGTTAAGGAGCAAGATTTCCAACAAGACTGCCCTCACTTCAGACATCCCCAGACTATCCACACTAATGTCAAACTTGGCTACAAATTCAGATTCCCAAAACCTCCCTTCAGTTTCAACAATTCTCTAGAACAATTCACAGAAATCACTGAAAGCACTCTACTTAAACAATCACACTTTCATTTTAAAGGATACAACTCAGGAATAGCCCAATGGAAGAGGTGCACAGGGCAAGCGCAAAGTCTAGGGAAGAGAGCAGAGGGATGCAAAGCTTCCATGCTGTCTCCTGAAGAAATCCACCTTATGATAGACTATATGGTTTGGGGAAAAAAAAATGGAAATCCAGATGTCATCCTCCTAGCTAACCAGTGTGTTCACTGCTGTTGTAGGGTTTTTATATGGGGCTTCATAGGGTTTTTATATGGGGCTTCATGATCTAGGCAGGAGTGATTAAATCACTGGCCAGATAACCAGGCTTTGCTGTCCAGTCCCTCTCCTCTCCCCAGAGACCAGGAGATGGGGCTAAAAGTTCCAGGGTCTCTCTGATGTGGACAGCTCCTTTCCTGAATTATGGAAGGGCCCACCTAGAGCCAGCTTATTAGGATAAACTCAGGTGTGATCAAAAGAGATTCTTGTTATGCATAACAAAAGATACACCTATAAGGAAATTCCAAGAGTTTTTGAAGCTCATTGTCAGGAACCAAAGACAAAGACAGATACAATAGATTCTTCATTATATCATAGACACTATCAGAAACCAACTAGTAGACTACTGAAGTAGTACAAGCATAAAGATAAGGAGAAAAAAACATCAAAAGCATTACAAAAGCAGCAGCAATAGAGAAAGGCTGAGGGCGAGGGTGTTGAAACTATCTACAAAGGTTCAAGTCTGGACAATTAAATAGACAGAGACAGACATATGCTGGCAGGAAGCTGAATATGGGATTGAGAATGAATTTAGTTTTAATCACATTGAGACTGAGGTGACAGCCAGGGATTGCAGATGAACACTGGGGAGACAGAGATCATGAGCCTAGAGATGAGAGAGGACATGGCCAGAATCAGTTGTCAGTTATCCATATAGATGAACCCCCCGGACCCCCTCAAACCCTCACTGTTTCAAAAGGAGGATACTAGCTAAGCTGCTATGTTGCAAACAAAAGCAAGTTACTGTACTCAGCAGGGTGTGTAAGGGATGACCTCTAAAAAATTATCAACTCTAAACAAAATGGTACCTAATCTTTAAAATAAAAGATTCGAAAAGAATCACACAACCAAGTGCCAAACAGAAATGCTGGTTTTGTTCTTTCACAGAAATGTATTATTTTATTTTCTAAAAAAGGACATTTATCTCCCTCCAACAGAAATATGTGTTTATTTTTCAATGAAAAGGTTATAGAACAAGCATAGAATATGTCAAAATACAACATAAACAGGAACAACTATGAATCAATTCAAAAAGCTTTGTGTTCAGACACATGAAACAAGATAAAAACCTCAAGCATCTAATCATTACAAAGACTTACCCAAAGCATTTAGAGTCCTGCTTTTTACAGTATGTTCAATAGCTAGAAACTGCTTTGTTAACTGACCATGGGTTCAAAAGCATCACAATTTACTTTCCCCTGGAATGCACAGATCACATCATCCATTTGTTGCCAGCTTCCCAGAAGAGAATACTCACTCTGTTTTTCGGCCTGTGAGCATGACAAATGGGAGAAAAAAGAGAAAGAAGAGTTTGGGAACAGTGCACTGGGCTAATCAGATGGTTCATGAAGTAAACAGGTTATTATAGGCCCAGGGACCTGAAACACCTGAGTACTGACTGGACTAATGCATAGGCAACTCGGGAAGCCGAATTTGCTTAACAGATAAAAAAAAACTGGCTTCTTCCACAAAAGAGGAAAAGAAATCCATTGTACTTCCAACAAATATCCTCTGCATGTAAAAGGGCAAGAATAATTTGTATTATTATTATTCACAACTTATTATTTACAAAGGTTGTAAAACAAACCAAAAACAGTGAAAGCTACAAACCCCAGAGTAGTAGATAACCAAGAAAATTGCTCTAGCCAGCACCTGGGTTCCACTGAAGACACTCAGCAATCTTTTCGGTAGGTTTCAGAATTTAACAAATTTTCCTTACACAGATCTGAACAGCTACACTTTTTTTTTCTTCTTTTTAGATAAGGATTCACAGCTCCAAGATCTCTGACAACCACTAGAGAAAACTGGAGTCAGTCCCCTCCATAAAACTAATCTTTCAGCTGGGCACAGTGGCTCACGCTTATAATCCCAGCACTTAGGGAGGCCAAGGCGGGCGTATCACCTGAGGTGGGGAGTTCAAGACCAGCCTGACCAACATGAAAAAAACCTCATCTTTACTAACAATACAAAATTAGCCAGGCATGGCAGCACATGCCTGTAATCCCAGTTACTCAGGAAGGCTGGGTCAGAAGAATCACTTGAACCCAGGGGGAGGAGGTTGCAATGAGCCAAGATGGCGCCACTGCACTCCAGCCTGGGCAACAAGAGCAAAACTCCGTCTCAAAAAAAAAAAAAAATTAATCTTTCACAAAGATAAATTTTTCTCTACCATGTGCTAAGTCAGAAATTATACTATTAATTTATATCTCAATGCAGAAATAAATTAGTTCACTAGATTGCCAAACCTCTTAAGAGATCTAAATGAAGATAATTTGGTTTCACCGAACAATGACCCACAGAATTCCTTCTGGAGAAATAAAGACATAGTTAAGCTGTCACTTCCAAGTAACTAACCCAAAACTAGCTCCTTAAAGTGTTTTACTGGCCCATTCATGCATCTCAATTTCCACCCAAGGTTTTCTTCCATAAAAGAGTAATCCCTGTCCAACTTTCAATTCCAGCAAGATCAAGTAAATGTAGCTTCTCCTACTGCTCCAGCTAAGCACAACTAAAAATCCTGGCCATTATACCTAAAACAAATATGGGAAGACTCTGAATTCTGAAGGCAGAGAAAAGGCGAACCAGGTAGGTACCTTGGGACCCCTGGAAAACATGGTGGTGAGTTCCCTGGGTTTTCTTTTTGCCTCATCATGTACCACAGATAACGGGCTTAAAAACAAAAACAAACAAACCAACACCCCTTCTCTCCTAACCCGAAGAACTGAGCAACAACAGGCCCTCCAGCCAATACCCAGAAAAAACTGTGGCCCAGCCCCACCTATAATAGCAAAAGCCAGGTGGGGAGTCTAAGCTTCCACCCTTAGGAGGCTGTAATGTGCCACAACCTGCCTCCCAGGTGTCTCCACCCCTTATCACTGCAGGGGTGATATTAGAGAAGGCTGGACTTTCTTCCCTGACAGGTGGTAATAAGACCCCTTCCCTGCCAGGGAGTGTCTGTGGAGACCACCTGGAAAGCCTCTCCTCCCATGTGGCAGTAATGAGACACCCCTTCTCATCCCACTGGCATGGTATCAGAGGAGGCCTAGCAGAGAGTCAGAACTTTCACCTCAGCCCAGGGGTAAGAAGGCCATCCCCTCCCAGTGGTATCAGTTGAGTCCTGAAGAAGGGCTGACACACTCCCACACCTGCCCGGCAGTAATGAGGATGCCCACTTTGTGTGTCCATAGATCAGTTTCTCAAAATCACAAAGTACCACAACTTACCCAAAATTAAATGGATTATCTGAATAACCCTACTAATTGTTAAAGAAACTGAATAAAGCCTTCAAAAAAGAAATGACGCAGATCATTTCATTAAAGAATTCTACCGATGTTTAAAGAAGAATTAACATAATTCTACACAATCTCTTTCAGAAAACAAAAGAGTAGGGAGCATGGCCACATTTTTTTTTTTTTTTTTTGAAACAAGGTCTCACTCTGTCACCCAGGCTGGAATACAGTGGCATGATCACGGCTCCCTGCAGCCTCAACTGCCCAGGCTCAAGTGATCCTCTTGCCTCGGCCTCCCAAGTAGCTAGGACTACAGGTGCATGCCACCACATCTGGCTAACTTTTTAATTTTTTTATAGAAACAGAGTCTCCCTAATGTTGCCCCAGCCAGTCTTCAACTTCTGGGCTCAAGCAATCCTCCCAAAGGAGATGATTTCAGCCTCCCAGAGTGCTGGGATTACAGGTGTGAGCCACCATGCTCAGCCTAAGAAAGAGATCTACTGGCAGACAGAAGTGGAGAAGGCCATAATGTAACCATAGAGGAAGAGATTAGTGACACAGCCATAAACCAAGGAATGCCATCAGCCACCAGAAGCTAGAAGAGGCAAGGAGCAAATTCTCCCCTAGATCTTCTAGAGGCGGCATGGCCCTCTAACACTGTGATCCTGGCTGACTGATACTGATTTCAAAATTCTGGCCTCCAGAGGAGAATCGCTTGAACCCGGGAGGTGGAGGTTGCAGTGAGCCGAGATCGCACCATTGCACTCCAGCCTAGGCAATAAGAGCGAAACTCCGTCTCAAAAAAAAAAAAAAATTATTGCCTCCAGAAAGCTTAAAAATAAATGCCTGGAGTTTTAAGGCACCATGTTTCCAATAATTTGTATGGCAAACATAGGAAACTAGTATAAATACTTCCCCATCTCCTAGAAATGTTATAACAAGCTAATAAATATGTATGCAAAAGACATACATATTTGACTAGTCTGAAGTACAACTGCAAAAGAGAAAAATTAGATACAATTTCAGAGTTCCTCATTCAAAATGAGACTATAACACGCTCCTAATTTTTTTATAGTTAAATAAAGTATACATAAAAAGAGAAATAAATACAGCCTTGGAAATGATATCCATTGGATCCAATTATATCCAATGTAGATTCAGTTTCCTGAAGATTAGCCTACTCAATAGACAAGAACTGTTTATCACAGTAGCCTAGCAAAGGAAGACTTAATCTTGATTAACTCTGACTTCTAGTATATTTCTTCCCTGAAGGAAAGAGGAGCTAAATTGTATAGGTTTCTTTACTACCATAAACAAATTCAACAAAATAAGGTCACTCTGGCACTTCTTGGAGTCCTCTAGATTATTTCTATCCTGCTTCTCCACTGCTTTCCCATTCTTAGTGAACAAAGCAAACAGAATTCTTTCTTTAATTTAATCAATTGGTCTTAATGAACCACCACGTTAAAAATGTAAACAACCTAGGGCCAGGAGCCGTGGCTCACTCCTGTAATCCCAGCCTGGGAAGCCGAAGAGGGAGAATCACTTGAGCCCAGGTGTTAGAGACCAGCCTGGGTAACACAGACAGACTTCATCTCTACAAAAAAAAAAAAAAACAAAAAAACCATAGCCAGGTGTGGTGGCACATGTCTGTAGTCCCAGCTACTCCGGGAAGCTGAGATGAGAGGATCACTTGAGTCCACGCATTCAAGGTTACAGTGAGCTGTGACCAGGCTACAGAAATCCAGTCTGGGAAACAGAATGAGACTCTGTCTCTAAAATAAATAAATAAATAAATAAAAATACAACCTAAGTTTAACTCTGCAGTTATTCTCATTCATTAAGAAGTATGTTAACCCAGTAATGCACAAACTCTCTGGTTTGGGCACTACATCGTAAAATTTCATTATGTGTATGATTATAATCCAAACAATAAACCTGGTAATATATTTTACTGAATTTCAGAATGATAGAACATGCAAGACTATCAAAAGGGTGCCAAAACAATCATTATAAAACATGAAAGGTGAAAAGGCAAAAAGGATGTTTTATTTAAATCGCCCACATTAGAAACAGAATCACCCTAAGTAGCTACAGTAAGTTACACTCAGCATGGATATTCAGAAACTTTGGATCTAACACAAGGCACATTCATTGAAATATTCCTTACACTTAAAGCCACACAAGTACAGTATATTTTAAATTTACAGTAGATCAAAACAGCCATTATAGCATAGCAATTAAGAGTGTGGACTCTGAAATTAGACTGCGAAGGTTCAAATCCATGCCCCTTAACTTATTTGGGCTTCAGTTTCCTCATAAGTAAAACAAGGACAACAACAGTACCTATATTTACTTCATAGTGGAAGCTGGGAGGATTAAAGGAGTTAAAAACTTACAGCACTTAGAACAGAATTCAGTAACACCTGCACTCACTCATCATTAAAAGAGAGGGTCGCCATTACTACCTATGGCCTTTATAATAGTTTCACAGCTGCTATGTTTACTTTTAATCACAGAAAACCGAGAGGTGATGAAATCTCAATGACCTCTGTACTGAAGGCATTGATTTGTGTTTATCTGCCCCTTTATACAGTAAGCTAAAAGACAGAAACCGTGTCTTATTTAACTCTGTCCCCATCACCAAGCTCATGGTGTGTGTCCAAATATGATCAAGTAAGTCAAGACACATTTTGGTGTTCAAGCCACCCCAACTTTCAATCATTTTCCTGCCTAACTCCACACAGGTAAATTTTTATTTAAAAGCTACACAAAAAGAAATCATAATTGTAAGACAGTAGACAGGAAAGCAGTAAAAAGACAACCAAGGCTGCCTTTCCCAAGACACCTAAACATTCCTGTGGGGGAAGAGTCCCTCTCAAGAGTTAAAAACAATCCCCTCAGCCCACACTATCAGCCACATGAAACTGAAAGAGCCAGGAAGAACAGCTGCCACCACTCACTCGTCTTATCATTCATTCCTGTCTTTATCCAGATTTCCTTTCTTTGTGACACCACCACTAGATACCAGTTCACCAACA